AGGCTGGCTCCCAATAGAGGGCAGAAATGAAGAGGATATATCCATGTCCCTCCCCCTTCTCTCGGCAGACTCCCATCCCAATCCCTGCTTAGTATATAGAAGTTGCCTAAGGCCAGAAACAGGACTTTTTAGGGACTGGGGACTGGTATGGTACTAAGTTTGACTGTCATGAAAAGGGTGGGCTTAGAGCAAAAGCAACACAGCTATCATGTTGCTGAGGGGCTACCAGTTCTACCTCTGAAAACTTCCCTTGGATTTCTGGACGGTGAGTTGCTTGGCCAACATTCTTTGTGGACCCAGTTCTGGCATTTCCTTAACTACAACTCTATGAAGGACAGTTCATTATAGTGACAAGGGGTGAGCCCTGTACAGAGTCCACTTCTGGAACTCACTAGTTATATGGCTTTGGACAAGTCATTTAACCCTTCTGTGAAGTTTTCTTATCTATATAAAAGGGAAAACAAAACTAACATCTTCTGAGTTTTGTGAAGATTAAATGACCTCATATATGAAAAGTATTTGGCACATTACTTGGCACCCAGCAATGGATCAGTCCATTTAAGCTGAATTATTTTAAAAGTTGTAGTAATTGAGCTTCTGTTTGATCAGTGCTTACCTGAGACAGCCCATCACATTGCTAGCAGGACCCATCATAAGGCAACCCTTATGTGCTTCCCTGTAAGTCCTATCACAGGGTCTCATCTGCTCTGTTGAGCACTTAGATCTAAGCCTCATGGACTTACTTCTGACTCTGAATCAGGAGCAGGGCTAGCCCATGCTTGGTCTCTGTCCCTTTCTTCTTCCTCTCAGATGGAGGAGCCACACAGGAATGCTGTCTGGCTTCAGTCCCAGAGCCATTTCCTCTATATCTGTACCACCTTTCAACATTGTTGGCATACTTCCTTTTTGAACTGAGGCACAATTCCACAGTGGCCACAGCAAATGCCCTTGAAAGTGTGCCGCAGTGGATGTTGGGTTGGCAGTGTCCTGGGGCACATTCATGTCCCTGTACCTGGAGTCTGGTTGGGTCAGCCAAGCATGATTCCTTCTCATAACTTCCCTGTACCGAGTATGTGATTTCACCTCTGATGCCTGTTGGCTGAACTCATTGAATTTGTCTACACCACTGGGTTCTGGCCTTTCAGATCGCCTCCCTGGATCAAGTGTGTTCCATTGTTGGTTCATGGTCACCATTAAAGGCGCTTCAGTCTAGGGACATCTTGGGACTTATTTGGAGAAGGGTTTCTAACACTCATCTAAGACCTTCACTTTCCCTTGAGTATGGAGCTTGATTCTTTCCTAGGAGCAGTGTTTGACATGGTCCATTATTCCTTCCTTCTCGAAAACACTCTTCTCTTGGCTCCAGGGCACTTGATTCTCCTGGGTTGGTTTCTTACCGATTTGGCCACTCCTGCTCTGCCTCGTGTGCAGGCACATCTTCCTCTACCCACTCATTAAGTGCTGCAGACCCTCTACTCTGTCTCTAAGCTTGATTCTCCTTTCACTTTTTATTCTTTCCCTGAGTGACTCCATCAACTTTAGGCTTCAGATACAGTCTGTGTGCATAAATCACACAGTTTTACCTCCAGCTCAGACCTCTTTCCAGAGTTCCAGACCTGCATTTTTAACTGCCTCCTTTTCTAGAGTATATCTCTAGTTCAGATTGCCCCCCAAACACCCATTTTCGCTCTACAGCTATACTCATTCTATTGTTTCTTGAACCCATAAGCAGCACCATCATCCACCTTGTTATGAAAACCAAAGACTTGGGGTGCATGGGTGGCATAGTTGGTTAAGCATCCAACTCCTGGTTCCGTCTCAGGTTGTGATCTCAGGGTCATGAGATTGAGCTCCATGTTGGGCTCCATGACCAGCAGGGAGTCTGCTGAGGACTCTCTCTCCCTCCCCCTCTGCCTTTCCCCTACACATGCACTTGCAAGTGTGTGTGTGTGCATGCACACACACACACACAGAGTCTCTCTCTCTTTCTCAAATCTTTAAAAAAAAAAAAAAAAGGAAACCAAAGACTTGTGGACATCCTTGACATCTTTCTCCCTCACTCTCTGCATCCATCCCATCAACAGGTTTTATTTATATGCATTTCAAGTAATCATCTCTTTTTTTCTATCTCCACCGCCATCACCTAAGTCCACACAACTATCATCTCCCACCTGGACGCCTACCATGGTTTCCAAATTCGTCTCTCCAAGCCACTTTGGCTCTATGCTGAAGCTGGAATGATCTGTTAAAAAAGCAAATCTGAGCGTATTATTGCTCCATGAACAACACTTAAATGTCTGGGTTTCTCGGGGTAAAGAACAGAAGCTTTCATTGTGGCCTCTGATGCCCTGTGTGGACGGGCCCCAGCTGTGCTCTCCAGCTTCTCTCTTACCATGCTAGCTCTGCTTTCTCACCCTCGTTACACTATGTTTCTTTCACTTCTTGAATGCTCCAGGCTCCTTGCCCCATCACATAGTGCTGTTCCTTCTGCTGCTCCCACAGGCTCTTGTAGTGTTCTCTAACTGGTTATAGTCCGTCGTCCCTCGGAGCTCACCCCATTGGCCACATCTTCCCACTAGTGATTTCATTCCCCTCTTATGTGATTTCCAAGTGCCACATGCCTCTCTTGTCTCATCATTAACAGATTTGAAAGCTTACTGTTATCAATTCATGGTTCATTAATTCTATCTCCCAAGCCCCCCCGCCCCACCGCCCCACCACTCATGGTAGGTTCTTTGAGGGCAGGAACTGTGCCTGTTTTGCTCACCACTGTATCACTGAATGCCTGGCATATAGTGAGTGCTTGTGATTATTTACCAAAGGAATGATGTGTGAATCTCTTTAAGCCAAGCCAGCAACAGTGTTCCTAAGGTAATAGGATCCTCTCCAGGGCTCCTTTGCCCTTGTACCACTGGTCTCTAGAATAGGATCTCAGAGCAGGCACTAAATAAAGTTTAGCTATGCCAGTGAATGCTCCCGAGCCAATTTCCTTCCTCCAAATCCAAATAAAAAGATTCTGACACAATTGAGGAAATTGTTATCTGGGGTGTTCAGTTTCCCTGATGTTTGGTACGCAGTGGACTAGCCACCATCTCAGAAATCATGGCTCCAAACTGGGAAATGGAGGCTATGTGGGGGCTCCTTGGAACCTGCCCCCATTCTGGGATATGAGACCAGCCCTGCCAAAGAGGTGGTTGGCTAACTCCGCCTATGAACTCTCTGGGCTGTAGATGAGTAGAGTTTGCTCAGGCAGCCCTGGGATTTGATGAGCTGGTCTTGCCTTTAGCTGGTGAAGGGAACTGAATAAAATCCCATATTCATGAGTCCATCGGGAGAAGGATCTCTCATCCCATTCAATAGATAGCATCGTTTGACACATGGGTGCTCAGTAGTAAGTGAATGAATGAGTGAAGCAAACAATTGCAGTCCACTCATCTTTATATCATTCAGTAATCATCTGTTAAATCAACAGGAGGAGGAGAAGGACAGCCTGTGTGAGAGACACTGACAGAGAGATGAGGACACGCACTCCCTGTTCTTGGAGACTGGCCATTCCCACTGGGGAGACTAGACTAAGTAAACCCAGCTTGTCCCAGTTACAAGACAGTTTGGGGAATGTGCTGTGCTCCAGGAAAACACTTGACACAATAAGAAGAAGGGATGCATCCTTGTGCTGGAGGGCTGTTCTTAAAAATCAGTGACTTTGGGGAATCAGAATCATAGCTTATGGGCATTAGCATCCCTTCAATTCAGCTGAGTCCTGTGAACACTTGGCTGAAAATGGAGAAATTCAGTTTGGTTCCATGAGAACAAATGTGTGTGGGCATAGATGTCACCCCTTCAGCTAAACGTTGAACAATCACAAACATTAAGAGAATACCTATTACAAGCCAGGCTCAGTGCTACCATGAGGAAACGAAGATAAAGGAGGTATAATCTCCCCCCACCCAAGGAGCTTGCAGACCACTGGAGGAGACAGATGGAGAAACAAATAACTAATAATATCTGTATATTGAGGTGTGAGCCAAGTGTTACAGGGGATTAGAATTTAGTGAAGAAGGAGGAACTGTCCCAGGGGTACAGGCCACCAGAGGAGATGCAGTCACTGATGAAAGATGAGCTGGTGTTGAGGAGGCAGAGTAGAGATGTGTCAGGGAGAGGATTCTGTGGATTTAGGCTGCCCCACACAAACATGGCACCATTGGGAATATGAACAGGAGCAGGAAGGAATTCACTCAGGGTGCTGGTAACCCCTGGGCCACTCTCCAGGAGTGTTCATATAGGTGTCTGGAATGAGAAGTGGCCTCTGACCCCTGGTCCATTGCCTGAAGAGGCCAGGCGGAGGCATTTTTTGGCTACCTAGAGTTGAATCAACAAGTTAGTACCTGGCAGAGCACGTAGCATCAGCATTAAATTCCAGAAATGGAGTTAGTTGCATGTGTTTTCCGAACCCCAGGCAGTTCCTTCAATGTACTACATTTCTGCCACACCATTTGTTTCATATAAGGCACAAAACAAAATCTTTATGTTTGTACCTTTAAAAATCCAGTGATTTTAATCGTGTTACCTTAACAACAAAGCTGTTGTTTTCACCACTTACCAAAAAGAATAAAGTAGGGCTTGGGATAATTCCATGAACTCAAAAATCGAACTACAGATCCATGGTTTGATCCTAGGGACAAATCAGTGTAGGAGATAAAACCTTCCACTTGATTTCACTGGAGGATAAGAATGCCCCAACCCAGCAGTTGTGCAACCTTGGACCACTCATTTCATTTCTCTGCACCTCAATTTCTTCATCTGAAAAAAAAAAGGTATAATAATCCCAACATCACAAGGGACTAACCCTCAAAAAGATTAGATGGGACACTGTGTGTAATGCTCTTAGCACAGTACCTGGCACATAGTCAGCACTCAATAAATGGAAGCTGTTGTCATTATAATTGTTTTCTAGTCATGTGTATGAGCCTTTTCAACATCTTTCTTCTTTCCCCTCGAAGGTGCCTCCACTCAGAATTCTAACACTGTGGAGCCAGAGAAGCAGGTGGACAATACCGTGAAGATGGCCGGTGTGATTGCTGGCCTCCTCATGTTCATCATCATTCTTCTGGGCGTCATGCTCACCATCAAAAGGAGGTGAGTGTCCGGTGCTGCCCTTCAGACTCTGCTGACCCCACCTGGCCCAATACTGCCGTGTGGCCAGGTCCTTGTTCTGCTGATCACTTCCAAGCAGGGACCTTCTTCTATGAGTGTTCAAGTCCTGAAATACTTGAGCCAGTTGTGGCTCCTTGTGTTGGCGTCTGAAAGGTGTGTGCTGCCTGTTTGGCAAGTGGCCCGGAGAGCAGTGGTTTCCTACAGAGCCAGTGATCCCTCCTACGGTTGGGCCACCCTGATGTGCCATGGGATTCCAGGTCATGAGTCTTCTCAGAGTTAACTGCTCTGTTATAACTGATCAAGTCTCATCATGATTACTGGGGAGCCCCAGAAATACAGATGGAGGAAAATAATGCTTCACCCTTTTTGCCTTCACTCACCCTGATTTCTCCTTGGTCTACCAGCAGTATCCCAAGCTGACCCCCGCGTGGCAGAGATAAAGCCTCCTGTGGTGCTGTAGTCCCAAAGGAAGGTTCCTTCCTACTCTATGTCCAATAATATCATCCCAGCTGGATTGTTGCTGCTTGTTATTTCTCAACAAGATGTCTTCCTGGGTCCACTAACACAGTTACTGCCTGTTGAATTTCTCATGAAAACCAGGGTACAGACTCCTCCTTATCCCCACATCCCCAAGATTTGCTGCACTGACATCTTTTGTTTATCAGACATTCACAAGGGAATTGCGGAGAGGGAAAGGAACCATTCATCTAGGAAAGCTGATGCGTATCAGCTGTCACTGTCCCAGGATCAAGGTTATTCCTCCAAAGAGGGAGTCCCAGGGCTCACCTCTCCTTGACCCCTCAGCTGGCACCATGTTTCCATACCTACCACCCACCTCCCTGTCTTCTCAATTTCAACATGGCAGTCCCAGTCTTGGTCTCCTCCTTCCCACTCCCCTAGTCAGCCAGAGCAAACAAAACATTCATCTACATTGTATATTATATGCTGCAGCATGCCTTGCCCCCAACTTGAAGATAATTTTACATCATTAAACAAACCACTTAACACCTAGCCTGAAGCTCTGCTTGTTTGGTCATTCACAGAGTTCAGGGCAAGCCCCATAACAAGGACCCAGGGACTTGCTTCCCTCTGTGAAGCAAAAAGTGCTCATGAAATTTGTTTCCCACCATAGCAAAGAGACAGAATGTCCTAAAGACAAATTCCAGCTTCTACCTAAGGAGTCCCATGAGTATAAATGCAGAAAGTTTTTTTTTTTTTTTTTAAATCCCCCTTTCCAGTGTTCAGTGAGTCAGAAATACTGGGGTTCCCACTATGCATGCAGTCAGCCTTCTCTTAGCTATTTTGGCACCAGAATATCCCTGTGTCTTTCATGACTCTGTTCTGAATCAGCTAGTCCTCCCTCTGGCCAGGATATCTTATTGGTAGGACCTTGTCCTTTCTTGATATCCTTTGTCTAACAGGATCACTCCTTTCCTCAGGCTCTCAATAGAATGACGGGAGAGTTAAGGTTCTTACCCAGCTACTGATTTTCTGGTGGGAGAGGGGGAAGGGAAGGTATGACATTGATATCAGGGAACAAGAACCCCCGAAGCACTAAGGACAGCACCACATTGTCATATCCTCATCATCCCTAAGACCATATTGTAGGTCTTAGTAATCAGTCAGCTGCTATTAGGTGAAGTCAAACATGAAGTCTGGTTTCTCTGGAGGCAGTAAGCACGTGTAAGATTGCTGACATGTTTCTTAGAGTCTCAGACGCATTAGAGGCAGAGGTGGGAGTTTGGGATTGTCTACCTGGAAAAAGTAACCAATTTAATAGAATCACATGTCCTCTGATAGACCTGAAATGTTCTCATTCTTTGCCACTGATTTGTAAGTCAGATAAGCTCTTCCAATTTTGCTCTTTCTAAAGCCTGGCTTAACCCACGTCACCATCATCTGTGAGCTTGTGAAGAAATTTCACTTCCTTCTCTACAGCTATTTCTGCAATGTGTGACTTTTCGGGAGGGAGGAAAGGGCTTTCTGTTTCCAGGGTGGGAACAAGTATAAAGTGAGTCCTTTGTGTGGTTTTAACCTCTACTGTGTATCTTCATCATTGCTCACCTGTATCAAAACCGTCCATCAGACCCAACCAAGAGGAGTCACATGATCACCGTTTGTCCCCAAGAGGCAAATCTGAGATGTTGTGGCATCAAAGGGGGTGGGCAGGGGCAGGGACTAATCACGGTTTGCATACACAGTATCTTTTGGAAAAAAGAGAAAGGGAAAAGTTGAGAGTAATAATTTACAGATGGGTGCAGGGCAAGGAAATAAGAGAAAAAGAGAACATAAATATAGGTCTGCGCTCTTTCCAGTAGCCTATGGTGTCTTCTGATGTTGAGAGATGCCCCCAAAGGACAGTGAAGCATTTGGTGAGCTCCCTTAGCTCTTCTGACTCCAGCCCCATATAGAAGTATGGGGAAAGCTTCACTGTTCAATTGAGTCTGTCACTAACTTACTGCTGGCCTGAATGTTGTCTGCAGCTACCTAAAAGGAAGAGGTATTAAAGGAAAAGAAACCCCTAAATAATAGGCAGATCATCACAACTCAGTATCCTGGTGTCAGCATCTCTTCAGTATCCCAGTGTGACCTAGAGTTAATTCCTGGATGCAGGAACTCTCAGAAGTCACATGCCTGATGCACCCCCCTCCACTGACTTGAATCCTAAGGGATTCACCTGGCTCAAAAATTTCCCCAAAGCACAGCCAGATGTTTCAATACACATAAGATGTCCCTCGATTCTCCCTGCAGTGTTCATCATCACTGGCCTTGGGGCTTCCTTGTGACTCTCTGATGAGGGTCTTTCTCTTGCTGTTAGATGTTTCCTTTGGTGATACTGAACTAGAAAGCGACAGAGAATAGGCTAGAGATACAGAGGACCAAGGGAAAGACTTAATGAAAGAAGCTAAATCAATTGTTTTGTTGTTGTTGCTTGGTTGTTTTGTAATGGATGAAGGGGGTATTGAGAAATGTAAGGTTGCAGAAGGGGATGTGAAATGTCGGTGGGTGATTCAAACAGGATTTGCCAAAGATACAAGTTGAAGATTTTGCGTAGTACCTTTGGCTGTTTGGAGAGGGCTTCTTTGAATTCAGGCCAATGCAGGATCAGAACTACATGGAGATACAAAGGGTTACATGAGCATTTTGAGAAAGCAACCTGGGGGGCACCTGGGTGGCTCAGTTGGTTAAGCAACTGCCTTCCGCTCAGGTCATGATCCTGGAGTCCCTGGATCTAGTCCCACATCAGGCTCCCTGCTCAGCGGGGAGTCTGCTTCTCCCTCTGATCCTCCCCCTCTCATGTGCTCTCTCTCTCTCTCATTCTCTCTCTCTCAAATAAATAAATAAAATCTTAAAAAAAAAAAAAAGTAAAGAAAGCAACCTGGAGCTCCTCCCTGATACAGTTCTTAACCGGGATATTGAATATTGGCTGGATAATGGCTCCATCCTTTACTCCTGATTCTCTTGATCACATCTGGACCTCAGAATGTTCTAGAATGGGTCTCTTCGTGCCATTATGTAATAGAACATACCTCCTTTTCACTCACCCTGTGGAGTTTTGAAATAGAGACTGTCATTACTACAATCCCGGTCATCTTCTTCCCTGGCCTCCTCTAGAATTGCTGGACATCCTCTCCCAAAGGAATATGTTGCTAGGTGTGGTCCCTTGGCTTACTACTATAGGGCTGTGGGTGCCATCAATGAAAAGGAAGGTGGAAAGCTCAAGCCTCAGTGCCTTAACCTTGGTGTTTGAAGGTGTTTATTAGCCACTCACATATGGGAAGTTCTACATTTTAATGTTTGTTTTGGCGATATGCATGTATGTGTGCATGCCCACAGGCTTCACATAGTCCCAGTTTAATCCTTGGGACACACTTGCTGAAGTCTGAGCATGGTCCTCCGAGGCTTAAGGCATAGCCATTTACTTTTGCACGGGGAAACACTGGAGCTATGAAGCAGGATTCTTTGGTAGATGTGTACCCCAAGACTTGTCTGGATCCTACATTAACCTTTCCATTCCTTTTTACTTTTCAAATGGAAACTGAACAACTTTTAGGGAGACCTTTTTGAAGTCAGTCCCTACCCATGGTTCTAGCCACCTCTATCTCCCCTCTTCCTCCCCCTGCCCAGCTTTTCTTGGTCCAGCCTTGATCTTCTGCCAACCATGCTTTGTCCAAATAGTAACTTTTCTAAGAATGAATTTGGAGCGTCTTGACTTTGAGATATGATAGCCTACTTTGAGAAAAATGTGCATCTCTTGATGTGCTTTGATTCTCTGTGACTTGGGTCTGCCCTAGGAGCTCCCAGTCTAATAGGTATAGACATCTTTTTGCTGTGGAAAGGGAAGCAGAAAAACTGGGTCCACATCTCTACAGTCCCATTTATTTTCTGTTAGCCTTGCAGAAACAACAAAGCTCAGCCTCTTGCTTTTTCAACTGTGAGATGCAGCTAATCCCATGGGGTTTTTCTGAAGATCAAGTGAGCTAATGGTTGGGACAGGCTTTATTTCCTGTACCTGCCTAAGAGATCATAAAGCATAATGTCAACAGGGGCATTCATCTCTCACGTGACCATCAACTGACCAAGCTAGCTCCAAACCCATTGCTAATATGCTAAGGGCGGTGCTACAATCAGTACACACATTCTAACGTATTTGTACATTTTCCATTTAAATGGCCCCCATATTCTGATTTTAATACTACAGGTAATCGTAATAGGGTAGGACGTTGGTACTCCTGTGGGGTTTTTTGTGTGTGTTTGTTGTTGTTTTGAGAAGAGGAAACTGAAGTTCAAAAAGGTTTACAATTTGCCCATGACCTTGGAGAATCAAAACACAAACCCAGGCTCTGTGATTCCAGAGAGTTAACTGAATGCTCGTAAATTCTATTCTGTCAGTCTATGGAGACTAGTAGGAAATAAGTGAATCCTGGAATAGGAAACAGGCAACCCAGGTTCAGGTATCCTTTGCTGCTCTCCTCTGCTTT